CCTCTTTTGGATCGTGTCCTGCGAATTTCCCCATATTCATTCAGGGTGCTATGTGCTAAAAACTCTGTGCTGCAGTGTTGTGTGGCGTCGGTACGCGTCTCGGATTACAGTGCAACGTCGAAAGCCATGGATGTCTTGTCAGGCCGGCTGAGATGTCTTCGCTGTTGTCTCTGTAGCGTTGTGGCTGTGGCATGCTGGGTAAGTTGTTGACAGAAAAGGTCATGCTACCCATAGAACGATAGGTGATTATATGAAAGTTGAGGCTTCTATTTATCAATGAATGATCAAGCTGGACGAGGTGCAATTTGTAGCATTAGCAAGACCACCTCTCCTTGACTAGTTATATAGGCTTATATTAACAGATAGCTAGCTATACATACAACGTCATTCATAGGCATTTTACCAAATAAAAAAATCTAATTTGCCAAAAATGTTTCTCCCTGTTTCCCTCAGTGACGTTGAAAGATCATCAATATGTAGCTCATTTTGTTCTTTCTTAGAACTAGAATCTGCAGGAAAAGTGTTAAGGACTTTCCGAAGAAAATGATCGGACACTGACAAGTGGTTTGCCAGCTGTGGACCGCTAACTATACCGGATGTGGGCCCGCCAGTGGGCCGCTACATGGCTGCTAGCTGGGGGGTAGTATTAGGGTGGCACTGGCCAAAGAGATTGATAGTTCACCACGGACCGCTGTCCAGGTCAGTTTCTCGCATATCCTCGACTGAGGGACGACCCTAGAGATGCACTAGAGAGCTCATCTGTCTCAACAGGCTTGGTTAAAATGGCTGATCCTCTTGTTGTGATGTTAATAATAACATCTGTATTTGTCACAGTATTCACAGATTTACTTTATTAAGATGTGGATCTATACCATAGTATTACAGATGGATGTTATATTTTCTTGTAAATGGATTGTTGTTGATCTTTTTGATCTAGACATATAATATTTTAAGAACTATTTTAAATATAGACTTTATTTTCCTTTTCTAGGTAAAATCAAGATCTAGTTAGCGTTTACTAATTAAACAACATCGTCATTACTTTCCTTTTCTAGGTAAAATCAAGATCTAGTTAGCGTTTACTAATTAAACAACATCGTCATTACTTTCCTTTTTGAAAAATGAAAGAATATCACTTTTTCAGTTTTGTTGTACAACCATTATGCATTATGTAATGGGAAAAGAAAAAAACAAAACTGTTTATGAATTAAAAAAACGTATACAATGTTTTCTATTTTATATATCCTAAATAAAACATATATCTATATTCATGAATTAATTATATTGTGGATACCATATTTTTTAGGGAGGTAACTGGAGTTACAAGTTATAGACTGAATTGAAACCTTTAGAATGATACTGGTAGCTACAGTATAGAAAGGCCCCATACTGCTGAGACAACTCACAATGTATGGGCGTTGTTATCAGAGGCAACTAACTGTCTTGTTGAGGATTTACGTTTTTAACTAAACGCTTCCCCACTATTTAAAGCTGTAATGTTTCCCAATCCCACATCATGCTAGCAAGCCAAGCCTTTATTAGAAACATATTGAGTCTGTAATTTGCAGCTTGCGCATCCATCCATCCATCCATTTGGCATGGCTATAAGACAGGGACATGTGAAAGTGCATGCGCTAGTAGAATGGAAGCATGCTATTTTGACCTCTCACCTTTGACTTCCAGTTTTGACCTTTGACTGACAGCATCCACTTTGAGCTGCATAGGTTATAACCTCCATATGAACCTTGAGAGACATGACTTAACGCCGACCTGAACCGAATTGAGAAGGTGAGCCCGGGCGCCCGGCCACACTCCATTCACTTTGACTACGACCTCAGATCTAACCCACAACCATAAGTTTGACGTCAACAAACACCCCTAGAGTAGCAAAATCAGGAGCACCTTTTTTTTTTTTTTTTAAGTCCTCTTCTTAAAAGACTGTTAGTTTATTAATACTCATTATTATAATCATCAATATTATTCAGATGTGCTGGAGACAACATTTCTAGAGGAGATCACTATTTTGCACATAAACCACTGTATAGTTTGACATTGACTGATCTTACATGCACTATCTAGAACCTTAAAGGGTTCTTCGGCTGTCTCCATAGGAGAATCCTTTGAAGAACCCTTTTTTGGTTGCAGGTAGAACCCTTTCTATGGAGGGTTCTAAATGGAACCAAAAAAAGGGTTCTCCTATGGGGACAGCCGAAGAACCCTTACGGAACCCATTTTTTCTAAGAAATGTACACAGAGGCGTTCAGAGGAAAGAGCTAAAAAGTTATGCCTCAATTTAAAAGATGGCACGAATGTGACGATCGTCTCAAATGGTACCCTATTCCCTTTGTAGTGCACTACTTTTTTAGACCACTGGGCAAAAGTAGTGCACTACGTAGGGAATAGGGTGCCATTTGAGGAAGCAGACTATGACTCATTTTCAAGAGGCTTCACTGTCCAGTTAGTAAGTGTCAGTTGGTTGAATGGTGAATGTTTCTCTCCTTCTGTTTCTTCCAGATAGGTTAAGCTAAATACCGCAACACTCCACAGTACGGTTCCAAGATTCCACATGGAGCAAACACAGTATTTTTTTATATAAAATATTCAGACAAACATATTATATGATCACTTTATTGAGGTTTAACTGTTGTTGTTCTTTTCCAGCAGAAGTTGTGTTTTCTGGTTTGATTTGACCTTCCTAAAGCCACGTGGGAGAGAGATTGTTTACCTAGTATGGATAACAGAACACAGAGGATGAGGAGTTGACTATTGGTGATGAAGAGGGGTTTGTGTGGCAGTACGTTGCTATCAGAGATTCACAAATAGTTGGGGGGTTGGTTAACGTCGAGTTAAAGACGTTGTTTTATTGGTCCGCGTCTCTAACGTTGTTAAGGCAGTAGTAGAATGTTGTACCCATCAGGTTTAAACAAGTCTGTGATACATTTAAATACTTCAGTAATACCCTAAATCATGATGTAGTCAATCATGCACAGAATCAGTAGATTGACTGGTGGAAGGATAGACCACTTTTTGGCAAAGTCGTCTGTCCTTATTGCGTTTAGCTGTGAAAGAGCCATTCACAAAAAAACAACAAAAGTAATTTTTTTGTGATATTAGTAGTGGCACTACTGTTAAATGTAGTATTTTAAGAAAAACAGCACTATTTATGGTCATTAAAATGAACTAGAATGTGTATTGTGCATTATGGTAGCTTTGGTGGCAGCCATCTTGTTTTGTGTCAATTTCCTCATGCTCAGAGACAGTCACTGAGGGGTTGGACTAGTTTTTGGGGAGTTGTTGAGTGGACTTGGCCAAATCTGAACCCCTTTTTCTGTCCTCCCTTTTGTCCTTTGAGTGACAGGTCTGCATGGTCTCACAACAGACTTTTACACCCATTCCCTCTCTTCTTACTTTCTATAAAGAAAAACGATTCTATTACTTTCTTTTCCATTTCTTGTTTCATTCTTTCGTTTAAACAAATTTTTAAAGGGATATAAATAAATAAAAATCTGAATATTCAATCACTTTTTCTACTTCTATTTTCAAAAAAACAGAAAAAAATAAATAAAAAGTTGATTTGTATATAAGTGATGTACAGTTTGTATCTGTTAATGTCAGTCTGTCTTTGGTGACAGAGTCCGTCTTGCTTATAACGCACGCTACCAGTAAATAAAAAATGAAAAATATATTTAGACTGTACGGTCCTTGAAAGCAAGTTTTAAATTAATCTCTAATGTATATTCCTGTAACATTGCATTTTTATCTGAGGAATTATGTTATTAAAAAATTGCTAATAAATTGCATTTCCTACAGCTCCTTTGTTCTTTGGATTCTCTATCTATTCTAGAGGTTTGGAAGGCATCACAAAGCAGAGGTGTAAATCCAATACTTGCATAAGTATAGCCAACAATTTAAACCACCTATTTCTTTAACGGTTCCCCCCGAAAATAAATTCCACCTGTGGTTACGATGACCTTTCTGTTGTCAGTGGGAGAATCTAGAACACTGTGTCCCTGTTTCAATGTTCCTGTTCCATTCTGGAACTTCCGGGATAGGATGATGATGACATGTCATCTAGATAAGCTCACCTGCTATTCCTGCTCTGCCCGATGCCAGGGTCTGAAATGACACTGTAAATGATTGACCTGTTGCCAGGCAAAACACACACACGGATATACATGTAGTGACTGTAGTGTTAGTTAGACATAAAACCCTTGGCCAGTGGGTTACAGACTCCAAAACTGGCCCCACGTTGTATAATCAGTTAAAATAACTTTATATAAGCCTTGAACACAAACATTTCACTTGAGGTACAGTATTAGTCCAGAGCGCCAACTTGGGGCTATGCAGGCACTGTGGACTATGTGGCTCTGGGGTTAAACTCCTGCCTCGTACCACAGATGTTGTGGGTTCAAACCTCAACTCTTACACGTCAGTGTGGATTTCTGCAACTCTCAATGTCAAAAAGAGAAGAGCAGTAAGCGTGAAGGAGTCTGTGGCTCTGGTGTAAAGGGTTGCAGGTTCAAACCCAGCTCTGGATCAGGATGTGTTGTGGCCATGAACTCTGGTGCAGAGTGAGTCAAGGCCACTAGGAGGAGTGGCTGCCACACCAACATCATTACAGGCCAGTGGTGTGTTGGCTGGAAGGGGGTGGTTCAATCCTGGGGTTCCTGAACTGTAACCTGCAGTGTTTACGGAAGAAAACTGCTGAAAAAAAACCTGACTGTTTTTAAATAAAAGACCACCACTTTTGGCAGGCGATTCTCTCTAGAACCACTGCTGTTCACAGGAGTGACCCCAAGTATTCACCCCCCATGAGTTCTGACCATCTTTCAACTATCAGCCAAATAAACACTCATGGGCTCTGTCTTGGTTTGAACCAACAACCCTGTGATTCAGGGGTGAGATCCTTACACCAGGGCCACAGGCCATTCACACCTCTTCGTATGTTTGACGTTGAGAGTTGTACAAAAGACAAGTACTGAACTCATGACCTATTGTTTAAAACCTTAAATCTAAAGTGGTCAGTATTGCAGAAGCAAGTATTCAGGTCAGGAATTACTCTGGCCCTAACTAATGACCTAAGAGTGTACACCTCACAAGACAAGTCTGTGTACATCAGAGAGCAGAGTTTTAATGACAGCTGTAACATGGATGAGGGTGAAAACCACACATACAACAACGTGTTTTCAGACCTCCTAAACATTATTGCAACGTCCAAGTACAAAAACAGAGTATAGTGCACATGAACTGTCCAGCATTTGATGACTCCAGAAGATTTGGTTACATGTGGTTAAAGAAACTCTACAAAATATGATTGGTGAATGTGCTAAACTGTGAAGGCATACGATTGCAGTTCTGCACAGAAACAATGTGCACGTCGGAGCACAATGACGTGTAGTGTGTCCATTGTGTAAAATAACATACATATTCATCACTTTGACACGACTGATGACATTGCAGCTATACGATAACACATCATCAGCAAAAATTATTCCGAAATGTTTCTTCTTGATAGTTCCGGCGTCAGACATTTGGCAGAGAAAAACAATCATTGGATAAATGACAGGGTGTTCATTTTATAGTCGCCATCATTCAACTCTCTAGTCCGCCATCAACTAGACTGTTGACGATGAGAGCTTATTCATTGATTCAGCTGTATGATTTAAGCCACGGTGCCGTTTAGTCTTCTACAGCTTGTGGGAGGGGCTTAGGCCCCATTTTGGTCCAATCATTCAAAGACTTCCTGGTCTGCGTTCAGCACTCTGGATTCCCCATGGTTCAGGACAAAGAAGTGGTCCACATTCAACCCATTCTTCTCCATAGCCTCCCTGAGTCTCACTGGAGGCTCTAAGTAATACTGACACAGACAGAGAGAGAGACAGAGATGGATGTTAGCCAGTATTAAATAAAGTGAAAGGAAAGAGGCATGAATGATATAAGCCAGTCGCTTCCTCGCGTTTCTCGCTCTCTCTCCTTCCAATGAAGGAGAGTCAGAGAGAGACAGAGAGAGAAAGTGTGAGAGGGAGATGGTGAGAGAGAGAGAGAATGATAGTCAAACAGAGAGAGAGAGAGAGAGACTGAGAAAGTGTGTGTGTGAGAGAGAGAGGGTGAGAGAGCGAGAATTGAATTGAGAGAGAGAGATGACGGTGAGAGAGAGAGAGAAAGAGAGACGTGAGAGAGAGAATTGAGAGACAGACGGTGAGAGAGGAGGGTAGTGAGAGAAGAGAGGAGAAGAGAGAGAGAGAAGGAGGACGGTGAGAGAGAGAGAGAGCAGGACGGTGAGAGAGAGAGAGAGGAGAAGAGAGAGAGAGAGAAGGAGAGAGAGAGGATGAGAGAGAGGGAGGAGGAGAGAGAGAGGTGAAGAGGAGGAGAGAGAGAGACGGAGAGAGAGAGAGAGAGAGACGGAGAGAGAGAGAGAGACGGAGAGAGAGAGAGAGAATGATAGGTTTAGGATGGACAGTACATAGACTCCAGGGTTTAGGATGGACAGTACATAGACTCCAGGGTTTAGGAGAGGACAGTACATAGACTCCAGGGTTTAGGATGGACAGAACATAGACCCCCAGGGTTTAGGAGAGGCCAGTACATATACTCCAGGGTTTAGGAGAGGCCAGTACATAGACTCCAGGGTTTAGGATGGTCAGTACATAGACTCCAGGGTTTAGGAGAGGACAGAACATAGACTCCAGGGTTTAGGAGAGGACAGAACATAGACTCCAGGGTTTAGGAGAGGTCAGTACATAGACTCCAGGGTTTAGGATGGTCAGTACATAGACTCCAGGGTTTAGGAGAGGACAGTACATAGACTCCAGGGTTTAGGAGAGGACAGTACATAGACTCCAGGGTTTAGGATGGACAGTACATAGACTCCAGGGTTTAGGAGAGGACAGTACATAGACTCCAGGGTTTAGGAGAGGACAGTACATAGACTCCAGGGTTTAGGAGAGGCCAGTACATAGACTCCAGGGTTTAGGAGAGGCCAGTACATAGACTCCAGGGTTTAGGAGAGGCCAGTACATAGACTCCAGGGTTTAGGATGGACAGTACATAGACTCCAGGGTTTAGGAGAGGCCAGTACATAGACTCCAGGGTTTAGGAGAGGACAGAACATAGACCCCCAGGGTTTAGGAGAGGCCAGTACATAGACCCCCAGGGTTTAGGAGAGGCCAGTACATAGACTCCAGGGTTTAGGAGAGGCCAGTACATACACTCCAGGGTTTAGGAGAGGCCAGTACATAGACTCCAGGTTTTAGGAGAGGACAGTACATAGACTCCAGGGATTAGGAGAGGACAGAACATAGACTCCAGGGTTTAGGAGAGGACAGAACATAGATTCCAGGGTTTAGGATGGACAGTACATAGACTCCAGGGTTTAGGAGAGGCCAGTACATATACTCCAGGGTTTAGGAGAGGACAGTACATAGACTCCAGGGTTTAGGAGAGGACAGAACATAGACTCCAGGGTTTAGGAGAGGACAGTACATAGACTCCAGGGTTTAGGAGAGGACAGTACATAGACTCCAGTGTTTAGGAGAGGCCAGTACATAGACTCCAGGGTTTAGGATGGACAGAACATAGACTCCAGGGATTAGGAGAGGCCAGTACATAGACTCCAGGGTTTAGGAGAGGCCAGTACATAGACTCCAGGGTTTAGGAGAGGCCAGAACATAGACTCCAGGGTTTAGGAGAGGACAGAACATAGACTCCAGGGTTTAGGATGGACAGTACATAGACTCCAGGGTTTAGGAGAGGACAGTACATAGACTCCAGGGTTTAGGATGGACAGTACATAGACTCCAGGGTTTAGGAGAGGACAGTACATAGACTCCAGGGTTTAGGAGAGGCCAGTACATAGACTCCAGGGTTTAGGAGAGGACAGTACATAGACTCCAGGGTTTAGGAGAGGACAGAACATAGACTCCAGGGTTTAGGAGAGGACAGAACATAGACTCCAGGGTTTAGGAGAGGTCAGTACATAGACTCCAGGGTTTAGGATGGTCAGTACATAGACTCCAGGGTTTAGGAGAGGACAGTACATAGACTCCAGGGTTTAGGAGAGGACAGTACATAGACTCCAGGGTTTAGGATGGACAGTACATAGACTCCAGGGTTTAGGAGAGGACAGTACATAGACTCCAGGGTTTAGGAGAGGACAGTACATAGACTCCAGGGTTTAGGAGAGGACAGTACATAGACTCCAGGGTTTAGGAGAGGCCAGTACATAGACTCCAGGGTTTAGGAGAGGCCAGTACATAGACTCCAGGGTTTAGGATGGACAGTACATAGACTCCAGGGTTTAGGAGAGGCCAGTACATAGACTCCAGGGTTTAGGAGAGGACAGAACATAGACCCCCAGGGTTTAGGAGAGGCCAGTACATAGACTCCAGGGTTTAGGAGAGGCCAGTACATACACTCCAGGGTTTAGGAGAGGCCAGTACATAGACTCCAGGTTTTAGGAGAGGACAGTACATAGACTCCAGGGATTAGGAGAGGACAGAACATAGACTCCAGGGTTTAGGAGAGGACAGAACATAGATTCCAGGGTTTAGGATGGACAGTACATAGACTCCAGGGTTTAGGAGAGGCCAGTACATAGACTCCAGGGTTTAGGAGAGGACAGTACATAGACTCCAGGGTTTAGGAGAGGACAGAACATAGACTCCAGGGTTTAGGAGAGGACAGTACATAGACTCCAGGGTTTAGGAGAGGACAGTACATAGACTCCAGTGTTTAGGAGAGGCCAGTACATAGACTCCAGGGTTTAGGAGAGGCCAGTACATAGACTCCAGGGTTTAAGAGAGGCCAGTACATAGACTCCAGGGTTTAGGAGAGGCCAGTACATAGACTCCAGGGTTTAGGAGAGGCCAGTACATAGACTCCAGGGTTTAGGAGAGGACAGTACATAGACTCCAGGGTTTAGGAGAGGACAGAACATAGACTCCAGGGTTTAGGAGAGGACAGAACATAGACTCCAGGGTTTAGGATGGTCAGTACATAGACTCCAGGGTTTAGGAGTGGACAGTACATAGACTCCAGGGTTTAGGAGAGGACAGTACATAGACTCCAGGGTTTAGGAGAGGACAGCAGGTGAAACTACAGAGGCTTTTTGAGCTGCTTGCTGCCTCCCTCAGCAGAAACGTCAGACAGACAAAAGGTTATCTTTCAAAGCCTGCCAACAGGACAACTGCTGTCGGCAAACAAACTACTTGTTTCAACATCCCAGAATAGAGGTGTCTGAACTAAATAAAGTCAAATAATTCTCCATAAACAAGTAAACTCGTATGTCCCTGTGTGTTGCTTTCTGCACTGATTTAAGAGAACGGTCCGTCTTAAACGGTTTTACCAGCAAAGCCATCTGCTGAGGCATGACCAAAGCATCAGGGGAAAGTTTAATGATATCACAGTTAATCGATGGTTCCTCTTTTACGACCAACAAAACATCTTCCTCTGCATTTCCAAAAACGTGCCGACGTCAACTGAATGCAGCAGCAAGCAACATAATGGAGTTTTCACATTTATTGTGGGACGCTGAACAATCCCACCTTTGTCTTTAGGCTGAACGGTTAAAAGGGGTGTCTGACAGTGTGTTTGTTCTCATCACACAAAAGGACACAATGGCAAATATGTGTTTCTCTAAACTGAGTCCAGTCTAGAATGCAGAGGTCAGATCCGCTGTTGACGTGTTGTGATAGGGTTGATTTATTACCATGGAAGGCTAGTTTTCCTGACCTTCGGTCTCCAATTTCAGCTGGGAGGCAGAGCAAATGTATTCTTCCTGATCATTAGATTCAGAGAATCCCACTGGATAGGCCATGCATCTCTGATGTGAGGTGACATGCCTTAGGTTTTGGATTGATGCTAACAACTGATAATTGACACCAAAAATATGTTTTACAGCAGGTACCTACAGTACAGTGCCTTGCAAAAGTATTCATCCCCCTTGCCGTTTTTCCAATTTTGTTGCATTACAACCTGTAATTTAATTTGATTTTAATTTGGATTTCATGTAATGGACATACACAACGTTTTCCAAATTGGTGAAGTGAAATGCAAAAAATTACTTGTTTCAAAAATAAATAAATAAAAATAACTAACGGAAAAGTGGTGCGTGCATATGTATTCACCCCCTTTGCTATGAAGCCCCTAAATAAGATCTGGTGCAACCAATTACCTTCAGAAGTCACATAATTAGTTAAAGTCCACCTGTGTGCAATATAAGTGTCACATGATCTCAGTATATATATATATATATATATACAGTCATGGCCAAAATTGTTGGCACCCCTGAAATTTTTCCAGAAAATGAAGTATTTCTCACAGAAAAGTATTGAAATTACACATGTTTTGCTATGCACATGTTTATTTCCTTTGTGTGTATTGGAATAACACAAAAAAAACAGGAAAAAAGCAAATTTGACATAATTTCACACAAAACTCAAAAAAATGGGCCGGACAAAATGATTGGCACCCTTAACTTAATATTTAGTTGCACACCCTTTGGAAAAAATAACTGAAATCAGTCGCTTCCTATAACCATCAATAAGCTTCTTACACCTCTCACCCGGAATTTTGGACCACTCTTCTTTTGCAAACTGCTCCAGGTCTCTCATATTGGATGGGTGCCTTTTCCCAACAGCAATTTTAAGATCTCTCCACAGGTGTTCAATGGGATTAAGATCTGGACTCATTGCTGGCCACTTCAGAACTCTCCAGCGCTTTGTTGCCATCCATTTCTGGGTGCTTTTTGAAGTATGTTTGGGGTCATTGTCCTGCTGGAAGACCCATGATCTCGGACGCAAACCCAGCTTTCTGACACTGGGCCCTACATTGCGACCCAAAATCCTTTGGTAATCCTCAGATTTCATGATGCCTTGCACACAGTCAAGGCACCCAGTGCCAGAGGCAGCAAAACAACCCCAAAACATCTTTGAACCTCCACCATATTTGACTGTAGGTACTGTGTTCTTTTCTTTGAAGGCTTCATTACATTTTCGGTAAACAGTAGAACGATGTGCTTTACCAAAAAGCTCTATCTTGGTCTCATCTGTCCATAAGACGTTCTCCCAGAAGGAATTTGGCTTACTCATGTACATTTTGGCAAACTGTAGTCTTGCTTTTTTATGTCTCTGTGTCAGCAGTGGGGTCCTCCTGGGTCTCCTGCCATAGCGTTTCATTTCATTCAAATTTCGACGTATAGTTCGCGCTGACACTGATGCACCCTGAGCCTGCAGGACAGCTTGAATTTCTTTGGAACTTGTTTGGGGCTGCTTATCCACCATCCGGACTATCCTGCGTTGCAACCTTTCATCAATTTTTCTCTTCCGTCCACGTCCAGGGAGATTAGCTACAGTGCCATGGGTTGCAAACTTCTTGATCATGTTGCGCACTGTGGACAAAGGAACATCTAGATCTCTGGAGATGGACTTGTAACCTTGAGATTGTTGATATTTTTCCACAATTTTGGTTCTCAAGTCCTCAGACAGTTCTCTTTTCCTCTTTCTGTTCTCCATGCTTAGTGTGGCACACACAGAAACACAATGCAAAGACTGAGTCAACTTCTCTCCTTTTTATCTGCTTTCAGGTGTGATTTTTAGATTGCCCACACCTGTTACTTGCCCCAGGAACATACACCTGTTCTGAAAGGCCCCAGAGTCTGCAACACCACTAAGCAAGGGGCACCACCAAGCAAGCAGCACCATGAAGACCAAGGAGCTCTCCAAACAGGTCAGGGACAAAGTTGTGGAGAAGTACAGATCATGGTTGGGTTATAAAAAAATATCGGAAACTTTGAACATCCCACGGAGCACCATTAAATCCATTATTAAAAAATGGAAAGAATATGGCACCACAACAAACCTGCCAAGAGAGGGCCACCCACCAAAACTCACGGACAAGGCAAGGAGGGCATTAATCAGAGAGGCAACAAAGAGACCAAAGATAACCCTGAAGGAGCTGCAAAGCACCACAGCGGAGATTGGAGTATCTGTCCATAGGACCACCTTAAACCGTATATTTTTATTTTTTAGTAATTTAGTAGACGCTCTTATCCAGAGCGACTTACAGTTAGTGAGTGCATACATTTTTCATACTTGCCTCCCGTGGGAATCGAACCCACAACCATGGCGTTGCAAGTGCCATGCTCTACCACAGAGCTGGGCTTTACGGAAGAGTGGCCAGAAAAAAGCCATTGCTTAAAAAAATAAATAAGCAAACACGTTTGGTGTTCGCCAAAAGGCATGTGGGAGACTCCCCAAACATATGGAAGAAGGTACTCTGGTCAGATGAGACTAAAATAGAGCTTTTTGGCCGTCAAGGAAAACGCTATGTCTGGCGCAAACCCAACATCTCTCATCACCCCGAGAACACCATCCCCACAGTGAAGCATGGTGGTGGCAGCATCATGCTGTGGGGATGTTTTTCCATCGGCAGGGACTGGGAAACTGGTCAGAATTGAAGGAATGATGGATGGCGCTAAATACAGGGAAATTCTTGAGGGAAACCTGTTTCAGTCTTCCAGAGATTTGAGACTGGGACGGAGGTTCACCTTCCAGCAGGACAATGACCCTAAGCATACTGCTAAAGCAACACTCAAGTGGTTTAAGGAGAAACATTTAAATGTCTTGGAATGGCCTAGTCAAAGCCCAGACCTCAATCCAATTGAAAATCTGTGGTATGACTTAAAGATTGCTGTACACCAGCGGAACCCATCCAACTTGAAGGAGCTGGAGCAGTTTTGCCTTGAAGAAAGCCCAAAAATCCCAGTGGCTAGATGTGCCAAGCTTATAGAGACATACCCCAAGAGACTTGCAGCTGCAATTGCTGCAAAAGGTGGCTCTACAAAGTATTGACTTTGGGGGGGGGTGAATAGTTATGCACGCTCAAGTTCCGTTTTTTTGTCTTATTTCTTGTTTGTTTCACAATAAAACATATTTTGCATCTTCAAAGTGGTAGGCATGTTGTGTAAATCAAATGATACAAACCCCTAAAAAAAACAATTTTAATTCCAGGTTGTAAGGCAACAAAATAGGAAAAATGCCAAGGGGGGGTGAATACTTGCGCAAGCCATTGTATGCCATATAAAAACAGATCCATTCGATCACCCATTCATAACTGTTAATGCTCACCTCGTAAGCTAAAGCGAAGGTTCCCCAGTGAATAGCCAGGGAGTGTCTGGCCTGGATGTCTTTGTGGATCTCCACAGCCTCCTCTGGGTCCACATGCTGTCCACGCATTACATCTCTGAGGGAGGAGAAACATGGAGGAAAATTGGCTTTTTGTGGGTTTACCTAATGAAGGTTTAACAAACTTTGTATTTATTAAAAGTAAACTGAAGTTCACTAAAGTTAATCAAGTTGAGGGGTATCTAATACTACGGTCCACGGTCCAACCCTTCCCCTAGAGAGCTACTGGATATGCAGGCTTTCGCTTTTCTAAACCTGATTCAGTTCATCAAGGGTCCTGATGAACAGCTGATTAGATAAAAGCAGGGTTGGAACAAAAACCTGCACTCCCAGTGGCTCTCCACGGGGAGGTTTGGACACCGTTGTACTAAACCAATCACAGCTGCGCAGGACAGGTGTACACTAGTTTCATACCTGGGCAGGTACGCTCCGATGGGTATGGCAGCCAGATCGAAGGGCCCAAAGCGCCTCCCTATCTCCTGGAAGGAGGAGCAGTAGCCGGTGTCTCCAGCAAAGAAGAAGCGGTTACAGGGCCCCAGGACAGACCAGCTCCCCCACAGCACCCGGTTATCGTCCGTGGGGGTGCGCTTGCACCAGTGCTGCGCCGGCGTACACACAAACGTGACTTCGTCGTGACCCGGCACACAGTTCTCCTCCCACCAGTCTAACTCTATCACATTCTCACACCCGCTTTTCTGCATCCAGTCCATGAGTCCCAACGGCACAAACCATCGGAGATCCCCGCCGAACCGCTCGTTCAACTGGGTCACGGTGCCCGCATCGAGATGGTCGTAGTGGGAGTGGCTGATGACGACCGCGTCGATCCGGGGGAGTTGATCAACCGTACAAGGGGGACCCCGGTACCTCTTGGGGCCCATGAACTGTAAGGGAGATGCCCTCTGGCTGAAGATGGGGTCAGTGAGGATGACCAGGCCATCCATCTCTACCAAGACTGATGCGTGGCCTAGCCAGGTCACCCTGAGACCAGACCCCACGGCTCCTTCTGCTGCCTCCGGGACACGGAGGAACCAAGGTTCCACAACTGGAAGCTCTTTGTCTAAGACCTGAGTAGCAGAAGACACAGACTTGAATATGACTTGTTTCAGATTCATTCATGAGCTTAGAGATAGAGGTGGGTAAGAAAGGCTCCAGCACTGGAAGCTCTTTGTCTAAGACATGGAACAAAAAAGATTTCAACATTTCACTATTGCTTCGGTCATTTTCAAGTCACCAAAACAAATTAACCAATAAAAAAAAAAAACGCTCAATTTTGTTTTTCGTATTAAAACCCTTTTTCTCCCGACGTGTCTCAATGAATATGACCCTGGTTGTATGATTTGTTTGAGGTTAATTTGATTAAGTTATTTCAGCATAACAATTCAAAACACAGATGACTAAACACCTTTAATACGTCCTTCCTCTTTATCAGAAAGATGATTGGAAATATAGTTCCTTTAAATATTAGGCCCTTCCTTCCTGACCACTACATGTCTATAGAGCAGAGCCCCTGTCTGAGTCGTGAGGTTAGATTGATTTACAGCCATCTAAAAATACCCTGGGTTGTTACCAGAGCACAGTGCAGTGTTTATGGAATGGGAGGCATCTTCCGGAGCTAACAGCTAACCTAACTGTGGACATGAGGCACAGCATTCAAAATCACAGTTGACAAACTCTGCCGTGCTCAGTCAAGAGATATTTAATGATAGACCTCAGGAGTCAGCGCAGACGGAACAGGTTCAGTCAGGGCAGGAGGTAATTGTTGGGTGTGGACTGTATACAGTAAAAAAGAATCATTATTCAACCTGTGGAGTTGGAGTACAGGTCTAGGCATTTGTGTGATAAGTTCCTTATAATAAAGAGTCGACAGTTTGACTGGCAATGAGTCCTATCAGGTGTGGTTTTGTGGTTTTGTGGTCTCCGTCATAGCTAGGTTTGTTTTGCAAAACGTATGAGCCGCTGTGTCTCATTAGACACAATGGCTGTGGGTGCTAGAAATGGTGGCTCAAATGAGTGAGAAATCAAATCAAATTGTATTTGTCACATGCGCCAAATACAACAGGTGTAATTAAAGAGCAGCAGTAAAATAACAGTAGAGAGGCTATATACAGGGGGTACCGGTACAGAGTCAATGTGCAGGGGCACCGGTTAGTCGAGGTAATTGATGTAATATGTACATGTAGGTAGAGTTAAAGTGACTATGCATAGATAATAAACAGAGAGTAGCAGCAGCGTAAAAGAGGGGGTGGGGTGGGGTGGGGTGGGGGGGACAATGCAAATAGTCCGGGTCGCCATGATTAGCTGTTCAGGAGTCTTATGAAAGACCTATTATATACGGCAAACGTCAGAATGTGTCTCACCTCTATGGAGCTGGGTACATTACTGTGGTTCTTCTCCAGCAGGAAGAAGCGTAGCAGGGTAGAGTAGGACGGGAACTTCCATGTGGGCCAGGGGTTAGTAAAGCGGCCATGTTTGTCCCGGCTCGACCCCGTCACCTCCTCCTCCAACCGGTAGTCCAGACGGAAGCTCTTCCTCGAGGACCGGGAGGAGCTGCTCTTCCTGGAGGAGTCAATCAATCAAATGTTTTTACTGCCTATTGTGTCCAGAGGGGAAATTTGGTGTGCAAGCATATATATATATATATATATATATATATATATAAAGAGTCCATACAGGTAGAAAAAGCACAAACGATAAAGACAAATAAAACACTGAAATATCATGCTGCAACTTCAGCAGCTGGATGGCAAGAAAGTGCATGTGAAAACTGCAAAGGTGTTCACTGTCTATCCCTACCGAGGCCCTGAGTCCTGCAGGGTGGAGGTGGGGGGGTCGCGGGGCCGGACCACGGCCGGGGAATCCCCCTCCGTCCCTGGGGAATCACCAGGAGAGACACCCCTCTCCTCCATCAACACCTGGTTCTCATCCACTTCTCCTCCTGCTCCTCCTCTCTCCTCCATGGGGTGACAGTGCTGGGCTCCTGGTCTACAGGGAGGTTAATAAACAAGAAATACAAATAAAAGCGTACACATGCCTGGGAGGGATTACACAGCTAGTAATGAAGAAAGAAAAGCCTGCACACAGTGCAGTTAGAGTCTATTTCTGTTGTTTTGACCCTGGGCCCGCACCACCATGGAGTATGGCCGACAGTTTCTTGTGCAATCGCACTTAGGAAACAGTTTAGACATGAAAGCATGCTTATTGTGACATGGTGTAACCCTGTGCAACAGTTCCAAAACAACCCCACTCAACAGCCATTACCAAGCCTGCTGTATGTGAGATGGCAGCAACATGACTTCCACTGTCAGCTATTGTATAACGTGGGCAACCACTTTTTACTGGTTCCTACTTTGAATAAAGACACACTGTCTGCCAGACTAGCTCACAGTGGACCTCACCTTTAATATACAATTGTCTGGGTCTATTGTTTCAGCTGTATCTTATCTCCGGACAGGTGGAAAGGCTTCAGCTCATGGATTGTGTATGTGTGCCATTCAGAGGATGAATGCGCAAGACAAAATAGTTAAGTGCCTTTGAATGGGGTATGGTAGTAGGTGCCAGGTGCACCGGTTTGTGTCCTGAACTGCAACGCTGCTGGGTTTTTCACGCTCAACAGTTTCCTGTGTGTATCAAGAATGGCCCACCACCCAAAGAACAACTTTGAGAAGCATTGGAGTCAACATGAGCCAGCATTCCTGTAGAATGTTTGACACCTTAAGTCCATGCCCCACTCAATCGAGCTGTATGAAGGCTTTGGGGAGGGGTTAAACGAATGATTTTAGAAGTGTTCGTAATTTTTGATACTGAGTGTATTGTGCCTTCCGAAGGCTATCATGCGCTAAACAAATCTCTTAGCTGTTTGATCAGTACCGGTATTAAGACTCGCCATGGTCCCGGTATGTGATCCATATGAACTGCAACGCCTGTCATGTCCCCATCCTTTCAACCTCAACATCTTCACCCATCCCTTGTAATCAAAATCCCTGTCACCCATCCACTCGTCAACCACAATCCTTTCACAGCATCCCTGAGTCAACATGAGCAGCATCCCTTTAACCCCATTCTTGACCACCTCTGTCATCCATCCCTCTGACCCAATGCCGTCTCTAGGCCCATCCCTCTGTGCAGCCCATCCGTGTGGTCAACCTCAATCCCTCTAAACCAGGCTTTCCAAGTTTTGTCAACACTCCTCCTATCATCGCCTCCGTCCGCCAATCCCTCTTGTACTACAATCTCTCTGACGCGCATCCCTCGTAACCCTCCCCTGCTCACTCCATCCCTCTTCAACTCACCCATCTGTCACACCGTCCATGCCGTCAACTCATCATCCAACTCATCCCTGTCAACGCCCATCCTCTGTCAACTCCATCCCTCTGTCAACCCCATCCCTCTGTCAACCCCATCCCTCTCTAAACTCCAATCCTCTGTCAACCCATCCCTCTGTCAACCCCATCCCTCTGTCAACCCATCCCTCCCCCACCCATCCCCTGGCAACCCCAATCCCTCTGTCAACCCCAATCCCTCTGTCAACCCCATCCCTCTGTCAACCCCATCCCTCTCTCAACTCCATCCCTCTCTCAACTCCATCCCTCTGTCAACCCCATCCCTCTGTCAACCCCATCCCTCTGTCAACTCCATCCCTCTGTCAACCCCATCCCTCTGTCAACCCCATCCATCTCTCAACCCTATTCACAGCAGCTTGTGTTTTAAGGTGTAAGTACAGACTAAAGAGGCTACTGAATAGCTGTCACCTAGGCCCTATAGTGGAAGTACTGTGTAGTTGTCCACTAGTCCTATTGACTGAGTACCCTTACAACGTTCGCGCTCTATACATTTCACGTTGCCTACTGTGGAGCTCTGTTGCACGTATTGGCCTATTGAATGACTTGACTGGACCCACAATAAACCACCAGAGAAATACAACAATGTTTCTTTGTTGATCCGACCAAGAACAAAACAAAACGGATCACTAGAAAGAATTGCTGCTATATCGAGATGATTTATCGGGATAATAAGAACATTAGATAGTCAATAGAACCCTAACTAAAAAGAGAAGAAGGAATGTGGTGAAATAAGCAGAACGGAGACAGTCGATCATTCGCAGCTTGAACGGTCAGCATCCGTCACAGTCACTACAACTCGGTCAATAAAATACTACCTGAAAACGTATAGAATAAGACAAGGCCGACCTGTAATTCCGTCAGTGGCGCGACATTTCTTCGGATATTGTTACAGCGAGATATCCGCAGAACAGTGTTGAAGAGTGCACTGCAAGCACGGCCAACGTCCCACCGCGCACGGTTACCAGCCTCCCAGCCAAGGCTTCTGACGTCGGTGAAAAACCCTACCATGTGACGAAATTAAAGCAGCCTAGCCTATTGAAATCCTCCTCTTTTCGACGCAAGGACCTACGTGACGAAACTCCCCATTTGATTTGCACTTGCAATTAAAATATGATTATGAAATACGTCTGAAAATAGCTTAAAACATGAGTTATTTTGCGGAATATCTAAACAAGGCCGTTGGTCGATGGTGCACGTATTAATCCATATAATAATGCTCTTACACACTCGATCTTTACCATAGTGAGCCAAGACTAACTAGCAGCTGAAAGCTCCAAACATAAATGTTGACAAGGCACAAGTTACAGTACAACGTGAATGTATGACGTCGCAACGTTTTGGAACGTTCAGATAGAGATAGGCTATGTAGAACAAACATTGATTCCTTATGTAGAATAAGAATCACATCGGCTCTATTCCTGACATTTCTATCTGCAACGTTCGAGAACATGACTCTGTTTCGCCTATTGGGCGTGTTTCCGTAAGTGAGCTAGGAGTGCATACATTTTAGCAAGTAAAGCAACCGGAACAGTGGTACCGAGTACTTTGTCTTCTGTTGAATGAGATGTGCACTTAAAATATGATACATTGAACCCCTATTTAAAAGTTGTTTTGTAGGCTGACAAATAATCACCTTGACAAAATTCCCTTCGCTGTTTTCAGAACACATGCGGCTCGGTGAATAGACCTCGAAAGTAGAGTTTTCCAAACATGTGGAAGCAGCCAAAGCCTGAATGCGTTAGTTAGTAGACTTTTTCTAGTTGGCCTAGCCATAATTGCTTAGACTAAAATTATAGAAACATCAAGCTAGTATTCGGTTTACAAAAGGAACTCTTCAAAGTTGGTCACGGTCACTTTGGTGTACAGTTGGTTAGCTACTTCCGAACATTGCATGGTCACGCATTTAAAGAAACAGCCATGTTGGTAAGGTGAATTTCAATTTAATAGTGCAATCAATATCACTTGGCATTAAAAACATAGATTTATAAAAAGTTGCAAATATGTACATCAGTGCCCTTTTACCAGGCAAATGTTATAATCCAAAGCTTAGATTTCTTATTTGTCAGAAGTCCAAACTCTTTCCTATGGCAGCTTCTGGTAATGTAGCCCATCTGATCATTGATCATTCAAACACCCCCTTCTCTTTCTCCCCCCAACACTCTGGATTCTCCATGGTTCAGGACAAAGAAGTGCTCCACATTCAACCCATTCTTCTCCATAGCCACCCGGAGGCTCACTGGAGGCTCTAAGTAATACTGAGAGAGAGAGAAAGAGAGACTGGGAAAATTGGAAAACTAACTAAAAAAACCCACACGAAGAGTTATCTATCCAAAATGGAGATGTATGGATAAACCACTTCTCCAATCTTTTTAGCCCTATAACTGTGGGGATCTATTTTCTTATAACTAGATGTGATGCCTAGCTTAGAAAGAATACATTAATGATTAAACATAATAGGTTTGTACTGTACTGATATAGATTGTTTAATATAACGAGCTGTGATTAATGTGGGGAACTGTTAGGGGGTAGGCTGAGATAAGACTTGTGTCTCACATACACACACACTGCCTCTTTGTTAAACCGCTCAAGGACATGTGTTCTGCTACAAAGATGTCTGAGGTTGCTGACTCGAGACAAGTTGTGGAGATAACAACTAATGCCTGGCAACAGTGAAGCGCCAAGGGGCTGGGACCAGCCTGTGCGCCAACGATAGGCTGAGTAAGTAAATAATATGCCATTTAGCAGACGCTTTTATCCAAAGCGACTTACAGTCATGCGTGCATACATCTTTTGTGTATGGGTGGTCCCGGGGATCGAACCCACTACCTTGGCGTTACAAGCGCCGTGCTCTACCAGCTGAGCTACAGAGGACCACAAGTCTAAACCACGCTCAGTCTCTACTCTGATAGGCCAGCAGGGAGCGGGAACTATCTCTGTCAGAGTATTTAAAGAAGAACTTATAACAATGGCTCAGTTCTCTGTCTGCCCTGCATGGTTTTTCAGTGGGCCCGTATATACGAACATCATATTTACCAATTCAAGTGTTTGCATTAATTAAAATACTAGTCTATTTTAGAAGACGTGTATTGACCTCTTTTTGTTCCTATACCAGATTTGAATTGACGCAACTTAACATACAGCAAAAAAATATACATGATCAAATAAAAATCTTAGATCCAACTATTAAAGACTACCAGAACCTACTGGATTATCTAACTACAGGACAAAATACAAACCCTCCAACCCAAAAAGGCCTGTGGTGTTGATGGTATCCTAAATGAAATGATAAAATATACAGACCACAAATTCCAATTGGTTATACTTAAACTCTTTAACATCATCCTCAACTCTGGCATCTTCCCCAATATTTGGAACCAAGGACTGATCACCCCAATCCACAAAAATGGAGACAAATTTGACCCCAATAACTACCGTGGGATATGCATCAACAGCAACCATGGGAAAATCCTCTGCATTATCATTAACAGCAGACTTGTACATTTCCTCAGCGAAAACAATGTACTGAGCAAATGTCAAATTGGCTTTTTACCAAATTACCGTATGACAGACCATGTGTATTCACCCTGCACACCCTAATTGACAAACGGAATGGAAGACCCAGAGTTACCTCTGCTGCAGAGGATAAGTTCATTAGAGTTACCTCTCCTGCACCTTATCCTGGTCCAGTGAAGAGTTCTCTCCTGCACCTTATCCTGGTCCAGTGAAGAGTTCTCTCCTGCACCTTATCATGGTCCAGTGAAGAGTTCTCTCCTGCACCTTATCATGGTCCAGTGAAGTGTTCGCTCCTGCACCTTATCCTGGTCCAGTGAAGAGTTCTCTCCTGCACGGATTAGACAGGAGCTAAGACTACCTTTTAACAATGCCCTCCTTATATATGGTAAGACCAGCCTGTCCTGCGGGGCTCTCCCTAAAGTATCTTTTTTTTCTTCTTCAGACAATTCTTCCTCATTGCACCTTATTATTCAGAGTTAAGACCGTCCATACAAATGATTGGCCCACACTTACTGCCGTCACTAACTAGACAGTTGCACTGCATGTCCCTTCCGTTACCACCAGGTGTCACTCTCCTTCCTTCAATACTGTATTTGAGTGCTGAAACACAAGATAAAACCGAAGCAACACAATAGGCTATCAATGATAATTATGACACAAATAGTAAACAGACCAGCAGAGGCAACACTTAGTCCCATTTCTTTATTAGTATTTTGCCATGCTACAAACGAATAGGGTGCTGTTGGCAGTGATGGAATATGTATTAAGAATGATGTGGACGTCTAAATACGCAGTATGGTTTTTCCTCTGGTCAAAAAATACTAACATTTTGGTAAACATATATTTCCATACCTGAAAAATGCAAATATCAAAATCTCTCCCCCCCACCCCCCCTCAATATAAAGTCCATACACTACTATGCCATTATGTTTTTAAACAGTAGACCCACTGGGCACACACTGGTTGAATCAATGTTGTTTCCACGTCATTTCAATGAAATTACGTTCAACCAACGTGGAATAGACGTTGAATTGACGTCTGTGCCCAGTGAGTAATTAATTGTTTAATTCACTGCATAGTCCTTTATAGTGTCTGGTGGTCTGAGACCAAAACAGAGGAAATAAGTCATGTTTACATCGTAAATGGAACCAATGGAATCAATCGCATTCTGGAACTCTGTGACAATCATCATACTCTAGAATAGAAAAAAAAAGGAGTTTGGCAAATAATCCATGGTTTCCGCTAACAGTTCATTTCTTTAATAAACAATATCTATTAAACTACTTTTTTGTACAATTCCTATAGTTTATTAACTCTTTTAAATGTAGGTAGAAAAAAATATAATGCAAGTTAGAACATATAATAATAATTTGTACAATATGATACAGTGAGATAACAGGTAACAGAAGATGAAACTTTGGAACCCACACTCCTCCTATGAAACATGGTTGACTGACAGCGTTGTGTGATAAACGCTTTGGTTTTTGTTTTCCTTGTTCACGACAATGTTTCGAATGACACTTCAGACTGAACTGAGACCACCAACAACCACCAGAGGGCCCTGTACAAGTTGAGTATTGTTTGCAGGGTGGGCGTGTATTCCCTTTCAGTTCTGTCAATCCAGGAAGCAAACTGAAATTCCAACTGACTTTCTGAATTGACCCAATAGTGAAGTAATTGGACCCCAACCCTGATGGAATGAACCCGGAGCATGAAGATGCCATCCAAGCATACCAATGGTATGATTTGGGTACTTTTAGTTCAGCCAGCATGAACAAACACATTATTACAGCATCATTGTGGCCATCATATAATTTGGCATTCATACATACACACTGTCTGTCTGTATTTAATAGTGGCTAAAGTGACTCTGTAGTGTACCAAGAAGTGTGCCCTAAGACATGGCTGAAGACTCCAGGCTCGGGGTCAGTTCCATTCCGTCAATTCAGAAAGTTAACCCAATTGCACATTTTCCTCATTGAAGAGAATTTGAATTTCGGTGTACTTCCTGAATTGACTGGGAATGAAATGGAATTGAGCCCAACCCTGGTGGGTCCAGTAATGTTAGACGCCATAGGAATCTACAACCATTAGGGCAACATGGAAGTGAGCTTCAGATACCGACATGAGTGTTTACTCTGAGACCATCTGAGTTTACGATCAGCACTATAAAGGATTCGTACCAAGAGAGATTGGTGATGAGGTCCGTCATTCAAAGAGACCTCACTGTTTGTCACATCACCCACCGCAAGCTAAACTTACACAGGCACTGGAATAAAGGTGGCCTGGGCACCAGTCTGTTTGTGCCGTCATGCCAACTCCCTGTCACTCATCGTTTGGCTTGACCATGACAGCAATGGAGTAGACACAGAGCACAGACAGATCTGTGACCAGGCTAGAATTAAAGGTGTTTCACTCCTTCTTTAATTAGTTAACGGTATCAAATGACCTCAGGAATAAAAAATAGTGTTATATTGGTGAGTACCTGATCTACCATCGTTGCCTTTCAGGTAAGCTTTCAGTATAGCCTGGGTACCGGTCTCGTTTGTGCCATCGTGCCACTCCTTGTCATGACAAAGACTGCACAAACAGATGTGGGACCAGGCTACTTTCAGGACACAGTGTAACTTCCTTGTGAAGTAATAAGACATGTAAAAATCTGCAGCCCTTCTGTCTTCAAATGTGTTTTTCATTCAGTTTGTAGGTATAACAAAGTATGACAGCATCAACATCAAGGGTCAGGTCCAGGTGCAGCTGAAGAAGACGACAGTGGTTCCGCGTCCCAAATCACACCCTATTCCCTATGTAGTGCACTCATTTTGACCAGAGCCCTATGGGTCCTGGGTCGTTATGCATTAAGCATCTCAGAGTAGAAGTGCTGATCTAGGATCAGGTCCCCCCCTGTCCACGTAATCTGATTCCTTACGGGTCTAAAAGGTCAAACTGATTTTAGATCAGCGCTCCTACTCTGAGACACTTTATGAATAGTCCTGGTCAAAAGTAGTGCACTATATAGGGAACAGGGTGCCATTTCAGATGCAGACAGTGCTTGGTAGGCTAGGTATGCTAAGTGTCGTGAGGCTCACATAGGAAGGTCAGTACTGTTGTGTCGGGTTTTCCTAGAGGTACCGTCGTCACGGGGCAGTGCTTTCTGAAGACTCGACATGGCCGCCGTGCGCTCGATGTCGATCATGGCGTACAGTTCGGTCCGCCGCGTGGGGGTGGAAGGGGGGAGGAGGAGACCGCCCAGGCCGACACCACAGGGAGTGGTGGGGGTCTTGGGCGTCTGCGGCCCACTGGAGTCCGAGCCCTTCTCCATCTCAACCTCAATGTAGTTCAGCTGCCTCAAGGGATCCAACCCCAACCCACCCGGTCCGCCCGTCAATCGCCCCGACCGGAAGTCAAAGTTAAAGACGGTGGGAGTCGAACAGACGCCGCTAGAGTCCCGCCCCCGCGGAAGGATCCGCGCAGAGTCCAGTTTGGCGCTGAGCGAGACGTTTACATTCTCTGTGTTGACGTAGTTGTGCATGGGGTCCAGACCCAGACCGTGGTGATGAAGGTGGGGGTGAGGATGATGATGATGGTGGTGAGGAGGATGATGGTGGTGGTTGTGGTAGCCGTTAAGGGAGGGGGTCTTTGGTCCGTATCCGTGATACACCTCCTCTTCATCCTCCTCGTCACCCTCAGAGAAGCGCCTGGCCGTCTCCCACACCGGAGGCAGCGCCGGAAGGTTCTCGTAGTTAAGGAGCGCCGTGCGCCGCTGGGCGGAGTTGTTGGCGTTGTGGGAGGAGTCAGGGAGGGGGATGGCGGCGCGGTTACGCCGGGGGTTGGGGGCTGGAACAGGGACAGGGGTGGAGACGTAAGGATGGGTGGTGTTGCCGTTGTGGTGCTCATAGGTGGAGATGGTGCTGGGTTTGGCTCCTTGGTGAGGTGGAGGGTTAGGGTTAGGAGGAAGAGGGGGAGGGGGGGCGTCTTTGCGTTCATCACTGTCATACCCCGTATCACAGTCTCCTGCCTGGAGACCCAGGGTGGAGCCCACCACACAGCCGTTCCCATTCCCGTTCAGACCCCCAGAGGGAGCTGCCGAGCTGGGCTCACCGTTAGACCCAGACACCCCAAGCACCATCTCTCCATCCCCAGACCCCCTAGACTCAGCCTCCCCGTCCCCATCCCCATCCCCTCTGGAACCAGCCTCCCTGTCCCCATCCCCACGGGTCTGCTTCTGCCTCCTCTGAGCCGGTGTGGGACCGAGGATAAATGTAACCCCTTCTGGCTCCAGCAGCACCTGGGGCTCTGTGTCCATGTCTGTCTCCGTGGGTGACGGAGGGGCGGTGGCTAGCGAGGAGGTCGTCTCCGGATTGGACAGCCGCAGCTCCAAGGGGGTGTGGCTGCTGGGGCGAGTGCGAAGGTCATCCCGTACACCTGACGTGTTGACGTAGGTGTGGACCTGAGAGAGAGAGAGTTTAAAAACACACACTGACACATTCCACTGCTCTGCCTGGATCAGTAACATCTTCAAACTAAATCCAAAGACAAAATAACAACTCGTTGAGAAAATAATCTGATCATACAGCAACAAGAAAGTCAATGCTTCTTAGTCAGTGGCTTTGAATGCATCGATAATAACAGTTATCCACAGGGGTCCATGACCAAAGGGGGGTGTTCTCACCGACTGGTCCGAGGCCAGGAGAGGGTGCGTTGACTCCTCTCCCACAGAGGGCAGCCTGGCACTGCCTACAGAAGGGTGTCGGCTAGAAGGGCGCGACGAGGCCTCACCAAACGACGGGTAGCGTCCTATACCGTTTGGTAACGTGGGTACAGAGTAGCCTTGAGCTGGGAAGAGGAGAGACATACGATTCATACAATGTGTTTGTGTGACAGGTCTAACTGGTAGGAGTGAGTGTGACAGGTCGTACTAGTAGGAGTGAGTGTGACAGGTCTAACTGGTAGGAGTGAGTGTGACAGGTCTAACTGGTAGGAGTGAGTGTGACAGGTCTAACTGGTAGGAGTGAGTGTGACAGGTCTAACTGGTAGGAGTGAGTGTGACAGGTCTAACTGGTAGGAGTGAGTGTGACAGGTCTAATTAGTAGGAGTGAGTGTGACAGGTCTAACTGGTAGGAGTGAGTGTGACAGGTCTAACTAGTAGGAGTGAGTGTGACAGGTCTAACTGGTAGGAGTGAGTGTGACAGGTCGTACTAGTAGGAGCGAGTGTGACAGGTCTAACTGGTAGGAGTGAGTGTGACAGGTCTAACTAGTAGGAGTGAGTGTAACAGGTCGTACTAGTAGGAGTGAGTGTGACAGGTCGTACTAGTAGGAGTGAGTGTGACAGGTCGTACTAGTAGGAGTGAGTGTGACAGGTCTAACTGGTAGGAGTGAGTGTGACAGGTCTAACTGGTAGGAGTGAGTGTAAAAGGTCGTACTAGTAGGAGTGAGTGTGACAGGTCGTACTAGTAGGAGTGAGTGTAACAGGTCTAACTGGTAGGAGTGAGTGTAAAAGGTCGTACTAGTAGGAGTGAGTGTGACAGGTCTAACTGGTAGGAGTGAGTGTAAAAGGTCGTACTAGTAGGAGTGAGTGTGACAGGTCGTACTAGTAGGAGTGAGTGTGACAGGTCTAATTAGTAGGAGTGAGTGTGACAGGTCTAACTAGTAGGAGTGAGTGTGACAGGTCTAACTGGTAGGAGTGAGTGTGACAGGTCTAACTGGTAGGAGTGGGTGTGACAGGTCTAACTGGTAGGAGTGAGTGTGACAGGTCTAACTGGTAGGAGTGAGTGTGACAGGTCTAACTGGTAGGAGTGAGTGTGACAGGTCTAACTAGTAGGAGTGAGTGTGACAGGTCGTACTAGTAGGAGTGAGTGTGACAGGTCGTACTAGTAAGAGTGAGTGTGACAGGTCTAACTGGTAGCAGTGAGTGTGACAGGTCTAACTGGTAGGAGTGAGTGTGACAGGTCGTACTAGTAGGAGTGAGTGTGACAGGTCGTACTAGTAGGAGTGAGTGTGACAGGTCTAACTGGTAGGAGTGAGTGTGACAGGTCTAACTGGTAGGAGTGAGTGTGACAGGTCTAACTAGTAGGAGTGAGTGTGACAGGTCTAACTGGTAGGAGTGAGTGTGACAGGTCGTACTAGTAGGAGTGAGTGTAACAGGTCTAACTGGTAGGAGTGAGTGTGACAGGTCTAACTGGTAGGAGTGAGTGTGACAGGTCGTACTAGTAGGAGTGAGTGTAACAGGTCTAACTGGTAGGAGTGAGTGTGACAGGTCGTACTAGTAGGAGTGAGTGTGACAGGTCGTACTAGTAGGAGTGAGTGTAACAGGTCTAACTGGTAGGAGTGAGTGTAACAGGTCGTACTAGTAGGAGTGAGTGTGACAGGTCGTACTAGTAGGAGTGCGTGTGACAGGTCTAACTGGTAGGAGTGAGTGTGACAGGTCTAACTGGTAGGAGTGAGTGTGACAGGTCGTACTAGTAGGAGTGAGTGTGACAGGTCTAACTGGTAGGAGTGAGTGTGACAGGTCGTACTAGTAGGAGTGAGTGTAACAGGTCTAACTGGTAGGAGTGAGTGTGACAGGTCGTACTAGTAGGAGTGAGTGTGACAGGTCGTACTAGTAGGAGTGAGTGTAACAGGTCGTACTAGTAGGAGTGAGTGTGACAGGTCGTACTAGTAGGAGTGCGTGTGACAGGTCTAACTGGTAGGAGTGAGTGTGACAGGTCGTACTAGTAGGAGTGAGTGTGACAGGTCTAACTGGTAGGAGTGAGTGTGACAGGTCTAACTAGTAGGAGTGAGTGTGACAGGTCTAACTGGTAGGAGTGAGTGTGACAGGTCGTACTAGTAGGAGTGAGTGTAACAGGTCTAACTGGTAGGAGTGAGTGTGACAGGTCTAACTGGTAGGAGTGAGTGTGACAGGTCTAACTGGTAGGAGTGAGTGTGACAGGTCGTACTAGTAGGAGTGAGTGTAACAGGTCTAACTGGTAGGAGTGAGTGTGACAGGTCGTACTAGTAGGAGTGAGTGTGACAGGTCGTACTAGTAGGAGTGAGTGTAACAGGTCGTACTAGTAGGAGTGAGTGTGACAGGTCGTACTAGTAGGAGTGCGTGTGACAGGTCTAACTGGTAGGAGTGAGTGTGACAGGTCTAACTGGTAGGAGTGAGTGTGACAGGTCGTACTAGTAGGAGTGAGTGTGACAGGTCTAACTGGTAGGAGTGAGTGTGACAGGTCGTACTAGTAGGAGTGAGTGTAACAGGTCTAACTGGTAGGAGTGAGTGTGACAGGTCGTACTAGTAGGAGTGAGTGTGACAGGTCGTACTAGTAGGAGTGAGTGTGACAGGTCTAACTAGTAGGAGTGAGTGTGACAGGTCTAACTGGTAGGAGTGAGTGTGACAGGTCTAACTAGTAGGAGTGCGTGTGACAGGTCTAACTGGTAGGAGTGAGTGTGACAGGTCTAACTGGTAGGAGTGAGTGTGACAGGTCGTACTAGTAGGAGTGAGTGTGACAGGTCTAACTGGTAGGAGTGAGTGTGACAGGTCTAACTAGTAGGAGTGAGTGTGACAGGTCTAACTGGTAGGAGTGAGTGTAACAGGTCGTACTAGTAGGAGTGAGTGTGACAGGTCTAACTGGTAGGAGTGAGTGTGACAGGTCGTACTAGTAGGAGTGAGTGTGACAGGTCGTACTAGTAGGAGTGAGTGTGACAGGTCTAACTGGTAGGAGTGAGTGTGACAGGTCGTACTAGTAGGAGTGAGTGTGACAGGTCGTACTAGTAGGAGTGAGTGTGACAGGTCGTACTAGTAGGAGTGAGTGTGACAGGTCGTACTAGTAGGAGTGAGTGTGACAGGTCGTACTAGTAGGAGTGAGTGTGACAGGTCTAACTGGTAGGAGTGAGTGTGACAGGTCGTACTAGTAGGAGTGAGTGTGACAGGTCGTACTAGTAGGAGTGAGTGTGACAGGTCGTACTAGTAGGAGCGAGTGTGACAGGTCGTACTAGTAGGAGTGAGTGTGACAGGTCTAACTGGTAGGAGTGAGTGTGACAGGTCGTACTAGTAGGAGTGAGTGTAACAGGTCGTACTAGTAGGAGTGAGTGTGACAGGTCTAACTGGTAGGAGTGAGTGTGACAGGTCGTACTAGTAGGAGTGAGTGTGACAGGTCGTACTAGTAGGAGTGAGTGTGACAGGTCGTACTAGTAGGAGCGAGTGTGACAGGTCGTACTAGTAGGAGTGAGTGTAACAGGTCTAACTGGTAGGAGTGAGTGTGACAGGTCGTACTAGTAGGAGTGAGTGTAACAGGTCGTACTAGTAGGAGTGAGTGTGACAGGTCGTACTAGTAGGAGTGAGTGTGACAGGTCGTACTAGTAGGAGTGAGTGTGACAGGTCTAACTGGTAGGAGTGAGTGTGACAGGTCGTACTAGTAGGAGTGAGTGTGACAGGTCGTACTAGTAGGAGTGAGTGTGACAGGTCGTACTAGTAGGAGTGAGTGTAATAGGTCTAACTGGTAGGAGTGAGTGTGACAGGTCTAACTGGTAGGAGTGAGTGTGACAGGTCTAACTGGTAGGAGTGAGTGTGACAGGTCGTACTAGTAGGAGTGAGTGGGACAGGTCTAACTGGTAGGAGTGAGTGTGACAGGTCTAACTGGTAGGAGTGAGTGTGACAGGTCTAACTAGTAGGAGTGAGTGTGACAGGTCGTACTAGTAGGAGTGAGTGTAACAGGTCTTACCAGCAGCAGTGTGAGGTGTGCAGGGCAGCTCAGCCTCAACAGACCCTATAGGGTTGACCTCCACCACCTGCTCCTCCACTACGCTGATGCTGTTGTTGTGCATGATGTCCTGCAGCATGTTGAAGATCTCCTCCGCCCGCACACACTTGAACGCAAAGATACCTGCAGGGAGAGAGACACCAATGGTTAGACTCTGATTCACACACAGTGAAACCCCAAGTCACCGCTCACCACCCTAAAACACCCTCAAACACAAGGGGTCAAGTTTACACCAACAACTACAGGAGTCACTTTACCACCATCACCACCATCAACCAACCAATCAATCTACCAATCAATCCATGTAGTACACTGTTACCATCAGACCAGCTAGAGAGAACAGGTAGGTACCATACAGCTATACCATACAGGTACCGGGTCAGCAATACCATACAGGTACCGGGTCAGCTATACCATACAGGTACCGGGTCAGCTATACCATACAGGTACCGGGTCAGCAATACCATACAGGTACCGGGTCAGCAATACCATACAGGTACCGGGTCAGCAATACCATACAGGTACCGGGTCAGCTATACCATACAGGTACCGGGTCAGCTATACCATACAGGTACCGGGTCAGCTATACCATACAGGTACCGGGTCAGCAATACCATACAGGTACCGGGTCAGCAATACCATACAGGTACCGGGTCAGCAATACCATTGTGTCTAGGGGAGGGACATTGGTAGCCTGGGCCCAGATCTCTTTGTGCTCTTGACAACTCTATTTCTCATTGTCAAGCCAAACATGTTCGGTGTGACAAGGAGTTGGCATAACAGCACAAACAGACTGGCAGTCAGGCCAGGGCTTTGAGGTGTTATAAGTCAGCCTTTACCAACAGCAGAAACACACACAGACCAGAGTCAGACCACCTCATCCTTTAGTCAGCATGGATTGAATCGTACTACCGTGGCTCCGACGCTCGTCAGATGTGGCAGGGTCTGCAAACTATTACAAACTACAAAAGGGAAGCACAGCCGCGAGCTGCCCAGTGACACAAGCCTACCAGACAAGCTAAATTACTTCTATGCTCGCTTCAAGGCAAGCAACACTGAAGCATGCATGAGTGCATCAGCTGTTCCGGACAACTGTGTGATCACACTCTCCGTAGCCAATGTGAGTAAGACCTTTAAACAGGTCAACATTCACAAGGCCGCAGGGCCAGACGGATTACCAGGACGTGTACTCCGAGCATGCGCTGACCAACTGGCAAGTGTCTTCACTGACATTTTCAACCTGCACCCTGACTGAGTCTGTAATACCAACATGTTTCAAGCAGACCACCATAGTCCCTGTGCCCAAGAACACTAAGATAACCTGCCTAAATGACTACCGACCCGTAGCACTGACGTCTGTAGCCATGAAGTGCTTTGAAAGGCTGGTCATGGCTCACATCAACACTATTATCCCAGAAACCCTAGACCCACTCTTTGCATACCGCCCCAACAGATCCACAGATGATGCAATCTCTATTGCACTCCACACTGCCCTTTCCCACCTGGACAAAAGGAACACCTACATGAGAATGCTATTCATTGACTACAGCTCAGCGTTCAACACCATAGTGCCCTCAAAGCTCATCACTAAGCTAAGGACCCTGGGACTAAACACCTCCCTCTGCAACTGGATCCTGTACTTCCTGACGGGCCACCCCCCAGGTGGTAAGGGTAGGTAACAACACATCCGCCACGCTGATCCTCAACACGGGGGACCCTCAGGGGTGCATGCTCAGTCCCCTCCTGTACTCCCTGTTCACTCATGACTGCATGGCCAGGCACAACTCCAAAACCATCATTAAGTTTGCCGATGACACAACAGTGGTAGGCCAGTGGAAGCCAAGGATGTAGCACGCGTCTCCCTATCGCTCCTGAGTTAGTGACCAAATTTATATATTTAACTTTGCAAAACTGCATACATTTCTGTTTGCCCAGGCGTCTGAAGAGACCCATAAACAACTCAGTTCAAGTTTAATAAATTTAAATTCGTAATGACATCAACCCGACCAAAAACAGAGTCTGCAAGAGCAGGCCGCAACAAGCCTGCAACTTCTCCCGACTCACCCCCGCCACCGAACGCTACCAATGCCGGCCCCACGGAAACACTGACTGTGGAGATGCTACAATCCGTGATAGGCACCCTCAAAGCCGACATTTTCGGAAAAATTGACTGTCTCTCTACCAACCTCAGGTCAGAGATATCAACGATCAAAGACGAGCTTAAAAAATCTATCGAGAGTATACAGAATAAGCTCGACGCACATGGGGTGACTTTATCGGATTTGGAGCGAGGGGCTACAGACCACAGCACTCGCATTAGCGAGCTAGAGGCTAGCGTTGGCTCATTGACAACTAGGGTGGCATTCCTCGATAATAGATGCGAAGATATGGAAAGTAGAATGCGGAGGAACAACATTCGTCTACTGGGAATACCGGAGGGAGTGGAGGGCCCAAGACCCACGGAGTACATGGCCCAGCTACTTCAGGAGCTGCTCGGGCTAGAGGAGAAGCCATTGCTAGACCGGGCTCACCGCACTCTGCGTAGCCGACCCAGGGATGGAGAACCCCCACGACCATTTGTCATCAGGGTGCATTTCTTTCACGTCCGCAACGACATACTGAGAAGATCGGGAGAAGCATCCCCTCTTCTACATAAGGGTAAAAGAGTCTCGATATTTGCGGACTACACAACAGCTGTGGCTAAGAGGCGGGCTAGCTTTGGAGCTGTGAAACGCCAACTACACACCTGCCCGGGCGTGAAGTTCGGCCTCATCTACCCTGCGGTTTTGAGACTGACTTTACCGGACGGTTCCATGCACAGATTCGAGGACCCGGCTATAGCGGCAGATTTCATCAACAAGAACGTGAAAGCGGCTGTTGTACCGCATGGTTTGTAACAAATGGTTGGCTAGCTGGTCTTCCTAGCAGGCTAGTTAGCAGGCCGAATGGGTGACTAACGAAGCCATCTCTGCTGGGTTCATCGACATATGAATGTCATTCTCTTCTTTATCTCTTTATTTCCAGCCCAGGTTTGCCGCCTCTAATGCCAATATCTGGGGGTCTGCATGGCTGTTTCAGTCTGATCATTTACCATCTGCGTCGAGGTTAAACCTCTCTTAATCGAGGATAGTTTTCCTTAGACTCTATTGGGGACCATTCTATTCATGTTTGGCTTACTCTAGTTAAATGGTCACTAATCTTAGGTAGCACAGAGTAAGAGTTATCATGCTTAGCTCTAAACTTTCTTCGTATTTAGGGTTTTGCTTGCATCTCATTTGGGGAGATGCTTCGGCAAGGGCGGGTGTGAGGGAAGGGTTTGTTCATGTATATAGTTTGTATATGTTTTTTGTGCCTCTTCGTTTGTCTTAGTTTTTTACATTTGCGCTTTTAGGTTCAACTAAGATCTTCAGTTTACATTGTACCTTGTCCTTTACACATCCTCTCTCTCTCTTAAGATATGACTCAGCCTAGTGTAGCCCATACTGCTGGAGGGAATGGCTTTAATTTTCTTACTTGGAACTGCAGGGGCATAAATAACCCAGTTAAACGTAGTAAGGTGCTACACCATCTTCATCATTTGAAAGCTCACATCATCTTTCTCCAAGAAACTCATCTGAAGGTATCACAACACTCAAGTCTTAGGTGCAGATGGGTGGGTCAGGTGTTCCATTCCTCATTTCAGAGTAAGGCGAGAGGGGTGGCTATTTTACTTCACAGATCGGTACCTTTTACATGTTCTAAGGTGATCGCAGATCCCCATGGTAGATATATAATTGTCAGTGGTAGGCTGCTCAATACAAAGGTTCTTCTTGTTAATATCTATGCTCCTAATTGGGACAATGGTGATTTTTTCAAATCGGTTTTCTCTACACTCCCAGATATGTCCACCCATATGTTGATTTTAGGAGGTGACTTTAACTGTTGGTTAGACCCACAATTGGATCGATCCTCCACTAAACCTACCACCCTATCAACCTCAGCTAGAGTTGTTCGAACCTTTATGTCTGAATTCGCAGTCTCAGATCCTTGGAGAATGGTTAATCCAGCTGGGAAAGCATACTCTTTTTTCTCATCGGTTCACCACACTTTTACGCGCATAGACTACTTCCTTGTTGATGACCGGATCCTCCACTCCATAACTTCATGTTCATATAACCCAATTGTTGTATCTGACCACGCCCCTGTTACTATGGAAGTAGCTTTTCAAAATGTTGACAATCAGCGACCGCCTTGGCGACTAAAAACTCAACTGCTCAGTAATGAACACTTTGTCAATTTTGTTTTGAGTCAAATCGACTTTTTCATGATTACAAATAGAACCCCAAACATCTCTGCGTCTACTCTCTGGGAAACTTTGAAAGCTTATATCAGAGGTGAAATTATCTCCTACACCGCACATGAGAACAAATTGAAAAGGAATAGGTTATCTATGCTAACACGCTGTATTGCCCAATTAGATGACATTTATGCCGTTTCACCATCCCCGGATATTTATAAGGAACGTTTAACTCTGCAAGCAGAACTTGACACACTATTAACAGACCAGGTTACTGAAATGCTTGTCAAGTCTAGGAGCACTTACTATGAACAAGGAGAGAAAGCCAGTAAATTATTAGCTCACAAGTTACGTCAACAATCATCATCATCTCAGATTACAAAAATTTGTACATCATCTGGGATATCATTAGATCCTGGGGGGATCAATGAGGAGTTCAAGAGATTTTACCAGTCTCTATATACCTCTGAAAGTAAAGCGGATACACTGGAATTGGATAATTTCTTCCACTCACTATCTGTGCCTTCGGTCGGCCGGGATTTGGTAAAAAAATTAGAGCAGCCGATCACTGTTGAAGAACTGTCTAACGCTGTCAAATCCCTTCAATCTGGGAGAAGCCCAGGGCCTGATGGCTACCCAACAGAATTTTATAAAAAGTTTATCACCAAAATAGCCCCTATTCTAATTGAAATGTACAATGATGCATTTGTAAATGGTGCTCTCCCACATACTCTCACTCAAGCAACCATTTGTGTTATTCTTAAAAAAAACAAAGACCCTCTTGACTGTGCATCATACCGTCCAATTAGCCTGCTAAATGTGGACTATAAAATTCTAGCCAAAATTC